ATAAAGTTTCCATTGATTCGCCACGGTTTAGGAGATTTGGAGGTTTGAAAATCGACTATCAAACGGACTGAATCGGCCCTTTGCGATTCAAATTGCCGGCCGTCGTGGCCGACCGTGCCAAGGCCACTCGCGCCGCATGGTGATAGTTTGCCGGCGCTGGCCTGCCCTACCGCGCCAAAAGGGAGCGCCATTGGCTCTCCACTCACCCACGCACTGACTCTTGCTCTCGCTTTCTCTCTCGCCCGCGCGCCTCTCTAGAGTGGAGCAGCACCGCAGCAGCGTCGTCGCCGTGCCTCCGCCGTGCTCAAGTGCCGCCACCGTAGTACCACGGCTCAATCACTCATGCCCACAGCTCCGCCATCACCTCCTCCACCTCGCTGACCCGCCATTGCCTTAGCTCAAACCAAGGTAAAGGCCTATGGGCCATCACCGTCACCGCAATAGCCGTTCTGCACCGCCGAGCTCCAAGCTCGCCGGTGACCAGCCATATCCACCGCAGCTCCTACCTTCTTCTCCATTGGTTCGTCGTCGCCTTAGGTCGTAGGTGCTCGTGTCATAGCCTAGTTCACCATTACCACCGTTGTCTCGCAGGAACGTGCGACTACACCACGTGCACCCGCCATGGCCGCGAGCTTTAGCTCACCATGGCCGACCTTAGCTAGACCCCGTCGTTCCCCTCTAGCACATGTTTCCGCACCTCCACTAACCCTAGCACCATCACCGAAGATGGAGACACGTCACCCATCACCAGCTCGCTAGAACGGCGACACCACCGCCGTGCTCTGTGCGTCGCCATGCCGCCATGCACATGGCCAAGCTTCACCACCGCTCCACCGTCGCCCTAACCTAACCCTAGAGCTCTGCTAGGACCTACTGATGTTGTAGTCGCGCTTGCCTGGACATGCTGTCGTCAGAGACGATGAGTCCGCCACCGCGCGCCACCATCGAGCCGCCATGCTCGCCGCCGAGGTCGCTCCAGTGATCCACTGAGCCAGCAAAGGGCACCAATGGGTGCGCAAGGGTGTGGGGAGCACAACACCGGTGACGCTACCGCTGGTGACCTCATCGTCGGCGAGTTCGCCGCCGGTCAACCGAGCGCCCTGCTCTGGTTCCACTAACGAGTGGGGCCGAGTTGACTGCGGGACCCGCATGTCAGCGCCTGAGGGTGTATAGACCGGGCGTACCTAGCTTTTAGGGTTTAGTTGCTTTTTGAATTATTTTCACAGATTTGAATACAAATTTCAAAATTTCATATCTGGAGCTAGGAGTATCCAAATGGGGTGAACCAAATTTTGTTGGATTTATCTTGAAGTGACTATTTGATAAAAATATGAAATCTATTGTTTAGGGTATTTTTCTAGGATAATTAAATTGAGCAAGATAAGTGCTTTTAAATTAGGTTATATCTTGTAAAATGCATAACTTGAGCTAGTAAGATGATAAAATTGTGATTCTAATTTTTTTGGTCTTGTGTTGACATGCTCTAGCTAAAAAAAATACTAAACCTATAGTAGGCATAATTGAAATATGGTCTCCAGAAGGCAAGGAGCAAGCTCTTGAGGACCTACCCGAGTGCCCGGATCATCGGCCAACTTCTTTTCTCAAAGGCAAGCCCCGGAGCATTTTAAGCCTCCCATGTTTTACAAAATACCACTTGAGTCCTTTATGTTTGATGCATTAGGTTATAAGAGTTGAATTGGAAATACTTGATGTATAGAACTATCTTGTCCAGATAAATATACCTATAACCCTGTGTAGGTCCAGGATCGAATATATACTTAGCCATGCTTAGACCGGTAGAAGTCGGGTGATTTCCTGTCACCTGCGAGATATAGGTGGATACCGGAGCACGGTTGGCTATATTTGCTATCGTGAAAAAGAACCATGGGGTAATGTAACTGGAGATCGGACGGAGTCTATGCGTAGGTTGGCTAATGTGATTTCGTCTGTGCCGATTAAGGACCGTACCATTGTTGGAACTCCTGTTGAGATTGAACGCATGCCTCTCACTTAGCTGGCCGGATAACTCGTTCCGACCGGGAAGCTGAGTAGCTCAACTCAGGCCGAGCCCCGTTCTGTTAGAGTGCGCACTGTAGATGGTAGTAAGGATGTGAGGGAAGCCAGATGTGAGCCCAAGGGCAGGGTAGTCCCGATCGTCCTGACAGCTGGTTGTCCCTGGTTGTGCGGCGCTGATCGAACCCACGAAATGTGTACCTGAGTTATACCAAAGGTGACCTTTGATCTGGTCTGCCTGGGTTTGTGTTAGGAATAAATTCCCAGCTGGTTGAAATAGATTCGAATCGCCGTCTCTCTCAGACAGTGGGAAACTTGGCTAGCTCCAACATCGTAGTAACTAGATTATGGAATGATGGTTATGGTGAACTTGGAACTTTTACACCGGCTATGGTTACTACTATATGCTACTAAATGATATACCACATGTTTGGCACATGTTAGTTGCTAATCTAGAGATAAATAGGTATAATTAACTTGATGACCAAATTATAAATGTATAACTGAATTAGTAGCTTTTCATGCAAAATGTTATCAAGCTAGCTTCACTTAAAAAGCCTTGCATGATCCTTGGAGTCACTTTCTTTTTGTTTATGATGTGTAAGTTTAGCTGAGTACCTTCTCATACTCAGGATTTATTTCCCACTTGTTGCAGATGGTACAGTCTATCATAGCTACTGTAAGAACTGCTTCTGTCCCGCCATGGACGAGGAGTAGGGCCCTGGGCAAGGCGTCTCTCGTTAGTTCCTTCTATCATGCTTTTGTGGTTGTGATCATGGACTGGCACTGTATTGGAACAATGATGTGAGGTGTTAGTTTTCAAACTTAATTGCTTCCGTGACTATTTTATTTGAACATGGTTTGTAATAACTCTTAATCGTACTCTGATGTATGACGTTGTATTTGTGAACTGATGTAACATGTGACATGTCTGTTGAATCATGTACGATCTTGGTTGTATGTTGACGGTTAATCGAGACCCTTCGTGGTACTCGGACGGACTACCGGGTTTATATGGGGCTCAAGTATGATAGTGTGACCGCTTGCGGGCTGCCATTGTACTTGTACTCTTATAAATTGGACGGTTCTGCTACAATCAGAATCTCTTACAAATTTTGTGTTACAATAGAACTATTAACTGAGTTTAGGTTGTCAATACCGGCTTGGCCGGTTTCCACAAGTGTGGATCTTCCTGAAGTCATAATTCTTATCTAGACTCTAAATTAGACGTTCCATGTATACATTTCGATCGATCTCGATGAGATCTACTCAATGGTGAAGTACAATTGTTGATTGACTAAGTCTTGAAAAATGGGAAACCAGCTATTCTAATTTTCCAGAACACTCGAGGTTGGCTAACTTTGGGTCCAAATATATGGCCCCTATTTTTTTTACAAACTATTAACTCCTAAACCAGAATTGGTTAAGAGTCATGATTAATTATAATTCATCGTCCATATTTGTTCTAAGGGCGATAATCATCTCATCAGTCATAACATCTGATCAAGCTTCAATAGATGTACAAACAACTTGTTTTGGTGGTCTCTATACTTGCTTGGTAGATATAGACTTTGTTGGAATCACCTCTACTTGTTTCTCCATTTATCTTCCCTTGTGCATTCGCTACAATCTTCTTTTTTTCTTCTTTTTTTTGTATGAGATAAGCCTAAGGGGCACCACCTTGGTTGTATATATACCTAAACACCTCTTTGTTGCACAAGCTTCTCACTCCTTTTGTATCAGCAAATGCAATCATGTCCAGATTATCGTCAACAACAATCAGTCATGGCGATGAATTATAGTTTGAGTATGCAAATAGGATATTGAATAAGATATTGCTTCATATGTATACTACTATATATAATCCCAAGGTGAGTAGTCGCAAGGATATGAGTAATTCGATGGAGTAATTAGCCCGGAGAAGAATAAGTTGCAGTGGCATGATTACCTAGCTAGTGGTTGATGACCCAATTCTCTTCATGTCTTGGTGGTCACTTTGAGTTCTTCTTGGCCAATTCATTTGCTTCTAAGTATCTCATTTATTCTTGTATTTTGCAAAAAGTTCTTCGAAGCTTGGCTTTATTTCCCTTAGCCATTTTAGAAACTATAAGAGTTTGTTGTATCCAAACACCTAGCGGATTTTAGAAACTAAAGTATTTTTGCAAAATCATATATAGTATTTATCCAATACTCTAAAAATTAATAGTTTGGATCCAAACGGGACCTTAACCTTTACGGTAACTCGAGATATGATGGTTGGCCACAATCTTGCTATCTATCTATATATCATATCTTGTTGAGAGGTTGTTGAGACCATGCATGCATGGATGCATGATGTATCATCAAGCATCTTGAGCTTCAGGTGCGGATCGTCTGCACATACCGTTGTTCTCTTCGATGAGATGGAAACTTGTTTAAATTTACACACAGAGTACGGCGCTGCCACACATTGACACATACTTAATTTATATATAAGTAAATATACTTACATGTATATATTTGTGGGCGACGTCCGTACTGTTGGCGCTGCACATAGGAACCGGGGGTAGCGAGCCACCTTTTATAGAAAGCTGACGAACGGTTGGGCATCAGCAAAATTGGATCTGCTGCTGCTTGCGATAGATGCAGGGAAGCTATCATAGCTGTTTCTCCCAAGTCCGAACCGATCCATCGTGAAATGGATCGGATCTGACCCTTTATAGGCACCCGGCCGGCCGGTCGATGATGGATATCCACGTGTATATGTTGCCCCCGGCCGTCGGTAGCCGTGCTAGGAATCTTGGCGACACACGCCACGGGGAGGCCTATATACATCACTTCCTCTAAGCTTACTGAGCTCAAAAAGGTTGCAGCTTGCTTGTAGCTAGTCCTATAGAAAGGTAGATAGATATATAGTTGGAGCTAAAAACGCAAGCAAAGCTAGCTTGCTCTTTTTTTGCATCCTGAATAATCCTGATAGATAGACAGACAGATATATAGATAGTTATATGGAAGGCGCAGCAGCAGGAGGAGGTTCGTCGTTGGTGTTCCGCGGGTGCCATCTGCCGCCGGGCTTCCGATTCCAGCCCACAGACCAAGAGATCATCGTCTGCTACCTGAAGAAGAAGATCGCCGGCACCGCCACCTCCGTCACCTCCATCATCGCCGACGTTGACATCTACAAGTTCGACCCATGGGATCTCCCTGGTGAGTCCAGTCGTCCTCTAGCTCGTTAATTACCTTGTCGCTCCTGCTATACCTAGCTTCTCATCAGCATCCAATCCATGCCGGCCGCATCATGTTAATTAACTTCCATATATATACTCGATCGATCGCATATGTATCCGCCGTCAGTCAGCAGATCATTCAATTCGCCTGTCATTAATTTCGTTCACGGTTCGTCAGTAAAATTAGCTAGCTAGACGATCGATGCACACACTCGATATACATCATCTATGTCGTCCTTTAATATTCGATCTCTTATGGAAATTAATTGAAGTAAAGCCAATAAATCTCTCGCTGTCTTCAAGCTAGCTATAGGTACGGCACCGGTGGTGGTCGTTGAGAACAAGGGAAGTACTCCCTCCGTCCCATTGAGTTTGTCGTTGGAAAACCGTGCCCCCCTCACAATCCCGGTTCCCGAGCGACAAACTCAATGGGACGGAGGGAGTACTTACTCTAGCTAGCTAGCACTGGCAGCAGCGTCTCCTTTTCTCTTTGTCTTGTCCGCTAGATACAAACTATGCACGGACAGGCTTGCTTGTTAGCACTGGCAGCAGCGTCTCCTTTTCTCTTTGTCTTGTCCGCTAGATACAAACTATGCACGGACAGGCTTGCTTGTTTGAGAGAGAGAGAGAGAGAGAGAGAGAGAGAAGATAATACGATGACACAGATGAGGCCGCGCGCCGTTGATGACTTTTATTTCGACTCATGGATGCGTGCATTAGTACAGATACAGATAGTAGTATATATGCATGACACAGATGGTGCACGCACGCACGCACACACGAGATCAACTTAATAACCGTCGTCCATATATATATGCTGCATGCATGCAGACAAGGCCATGTTCGGCGAGGGCGAGTGGTTCTTCTTCAGCCCTCGTGACCGCAAGTACCCCAACGGTGCCCGCCCCAACCGCACGGCGGGCTCCGGCTACTGGAAGGCCACCGGCGCCGACAAGCCCATCCTGGCGGCCGGCGGCGCGCACTGCCTGGGCGTCAAGAAGGCGCTCGTCTTCTACCAGGGGCGCTCCCCGAAGGGAAGCAAGACGGAGTGGGTCATGCACGAGTACCGACTCCTCGACACCGACGCCGCCGCGGTGCTCGCCAGGCCCACCGCCGCCAATTCCATGAGGGTAAGGGGCATGCGTGTGTCGGTGTGTGTAACTATACCACTGCCACAGTGTGCCAGCTAGCGTCGTCTCGTACCACTTCATCTTCATGCAAATGATGATGATGCATGCAGCTTGACGACTGGGTCCTCTGCCGCGTCCGCAAGAAGGGCGTCTCCTTGGGCCCCGCGGACATGGACGACACCTCCGAGGGAATAACAACGACGACGACCCGCGCAGCCGTTCCGGCCAACGACACCGACTACCACCACGCCGAGATGGAGATGGCCGCAGCAACTCAGCGGGAGGTACTGCGACATCATCAGGTGCCCGACGCCGGGACCGGCGGCGCCTTTGGCGACGTCGTCATCGACTGGAACAAAAACGACGACGACGGAGGAGACGCCAGCGGCGGGCTCAGCGGGTCCCCGTCCGCCCACCATATGCATCATGATCAGGGGCACGGCCACGGCGGCATGGTGCCCGTGCCCGGCGCCGCCAGCGCCGCACCGCCGCACACCCAGCATCACCATGGCCTGGTCTCCGTGCTGGAGTCCATCAAGAGGAACCTGTCGTTCCAGGCCATCGACGAGCTTTACCTCCTCCAGCCCAGCGCCAAGCGTGCCAACTACATGACGACGATGCTCAGCAGGGGCGACGACGACGACGATCACCAACACAGCATATCGTCACCCACATGTTTCTCCATATCCGACACCGACGAGGTGTTCTAGCTAGCTAAGCTAGCTTCCTAGCTACTCCTGGCCTCCTGTCTACCTCATGCTGCTCGCTCCACTCCACTCCATCATGCATCCATGCTGGAGGCGGTCTACGTTCGTTGTCGCTCGCGCGCTACCTAGTTGCTGCCATTTCACGTACGTTGCCATCGATCCGACGTGTCAACTACTCCGGATCGGATCTTAATGATTAGCTATATATAGCCTTGTTACTACAAAGTACTATATATAAACCGGTACATATATATGCACGTAGTATTACTACAGATATATTTGCGTCAAAGTATAATTAATAATAGATCCCATGTACGTACACCGTTAGTTACGTGTGTTTTATTCTTCATGCATGCTCTTGCTACCACTCGTCTCTTTATTTATGAGTGTACTAGCTTTGTTAGTCATATCAGTAGAGAGCAGCAAACTTCTTGCCTCAACTCAAGGCAACAGTACGTGTAGCTTGAACAAGTATATATTGTACTGTGCATATATGATGTATCTGTATTTATTTTGTATGTTTGTGACCTGAAAGATGGCTTTATTTATGATAACAGTGCAGATATGATACTTTTTTAGTGTTATATTGCAGGCTAAATGATTGTTTATGCGCTATTGTAGTAACCAAAAATGTAGTTTAGGATTAGGATCTATATTTTGAATTTAACACATACATAAAAAGTTGCAACAACTAATAAACAGAAACTAAGAACAAAAATGTAGATTCATAATTAACGCAAAAAAGATGAAACCAAGAGCTATATCTATAACCTAAACTATGGTTTCTACTAAATACATATTAAGAACCCACCCAGATGCAATGCAAAGGATGAAAAAATATATAGATTAGTTGGTAAATTTATCACCACTAGATAGAGATACTAAGTATTCTAAATAATATGGGTATTGTGTTATTAGGAAATGAATAGAGAGACAGAGTAAGCAGGTCCCGATCATCAATAATTTTGATTAGCCGTACTTGTGTCCTGAATTAATCCATTAGTAAAAATTTAAATACTCATATCACACGTATATATAAAATTGTAGATGCTAGAGCACGGAGTCGATGGCTAGCTAGTAAGCACTCTATATGTTCCAATTATAAGTCGTTTTGACTTTTTTTTTGGTACATTGAATTTGTTATGTATGTAGACATAATGTTATTTAGATATATAGTAAATTTGATTTACCAAAAAAAATTAAAGTGACATAATCTGAAATAGAGGGAGTAGTAGTCGCTCTTTTATAGAGAAAAATACACCCAAGATACTTTCTCCTCCCAATTTAGCACCTAAACTTTAAATCTTCCTTATCTAGCACCAATTGATTTTTTTTCCCAAACTGACACTACCGTGAGCTGATGAGCACCTATAACGGTGTTAAGTTGCATTGTGAAATGACATTTTTGCCCCTCCAAGTGTTCTAGTCATGTTTTTTTGGCTATTTTTTTTCCAGAGCACTTGAAAAACGGCATGCGTGAGAAGATAAACTAAAGGCATGAAAAAAATACGTACACATATTGCGATGACACAAATTATATGAAGATGAGTGAACAATATCGGTTACACCTCTAAACTGAAGAATAAGTATTGTTATTCACTAAACTATATACTTTTGTCTTTTTTTTTAGGGAACAACTATATACTTTTCTAGTTTTCTTATTAAATCTGCTTGGCCCATAAACAGCCCATTGCTACCACGCGTCAACAGCGCCCAGTAGGAGGCTTTCCTTGTCCAATCAACCGGTGCAAAAGATGCCAAGAGCCCAAGATGGTGCCCCAGGCTCCCGCCCTGGCCGCGCCAGCCACACGCGGGGAGCCCACCCCGGCCGTGCAGGTTCGCGCGCACGGCTCCTGCCGCGCCCGCACCGCGACGCCGGAAATCATCCGGTCCGAATAGCCTCCGTCGAACGGAGCATGGGAACGACGCGCGGGAATACGGAGCGCGGCAACGACGGGAATCACGGTACGTTCGTTTCTTTTTTTTCTCTTTTCCTTATTCTTCTCTCATTTCTTACCTTTTTCTTTTCATTTCTTTTTTCTTACTATTTTTTTCAATCCGTGCTTCATTTTCTATTTTTATTTCTTTTTTGTTTTATGTGATTTTTTATTATTCATTTAATTTTTTATATGTTATGTTTCTTTTATTCTTTATTTCTTTTTCTTATTATTTTTTGATGTTCGCGTTGTACATGTGATGTTATATTTTTATATTTTCTTTTCTTTTTCTTTTGATTTCTTTTGATTTGTTTTATTTGTTACTTTTCTAATTATGTTTTTATTTAATTCAAGTTTTTATTTTTTATTTAATCTTTCTTTATTTTTTTCTTTTTTCTTTTCTTTTCTTTTCTTTTTCTTTTCGTGCATCATTCATTTTTTTATTTTCTTTTTATGTTTTATGTGTTTATTATTATTTTCATTTTTTATATTTTTTACCTTTCTTTTATTTCTTTTTTCTTATCTTTTCTTTTCTTATTATTTTTATGATGTTCCATGTTTTTTGTGATGTTCATGTGTATACATGTGATTTCTATGTGTTTTTACACTTGTTATACATGTGATGTTCTGTGATGCTTTTTTGTGTTCACGTGTGTCGGTGTTTTTAACCACCGACGAGTAAATTTGTATTTTCGCGTCTGGCTTGGATGGTGTGCTCAGAGGACATAAGGGTTTATACTGGTTTGGACGGAACGTCCCTACGTCCAGTTCGCTTCTACTCGTGTTATCGACACTTGGTTTGCAGTAGGGGTTACAAATAAGCGAGAGATGGAGAGGATCCCAAGTCTCTGGTGGAAGGACTGAACGGATGCTGAGAGCTTGCTTGCCGCTTAGCCGTGTGCTCGTGTCGTGCTCTTGTGTAAAGATCCCCCCTCCCCGTCCAGATCTCCCCTTTCATAGGGCGCACTGCTTCTCCTTTTATAGATAAAGGGAAAGCGCGGGTTACAGAGGAGGAAAAGGAGAATAACGAGAAAGAAAAAGACTTTCAGGGTTGCCGGGTCCTTCTTCTCCTTCATGCGGGTCCCACCGATCCTGTAGACGTCAACAGGGACGGCTCCATGTCGCGGCCCTATTCGTCACTGGCGCCATGCGTCGGCGTCATCTGCCGGTCATGGCGTTCCACTCTGTCCCGGCAGACGTCGTGGTGAACTGACGCGCCTGTCAGCGTCTGTACGAGGATTAGGCAGAACAGCACCGGCACGCCCGACACTGTTCTTGATGTGAATCCCCAGGAATGGCCCGTCATGGCCACGGGTTACATCGAGGCGTGCCAGGCTCTTCCCTGGCGTTAGAGTTTTGATCTAGGCCCATACGCTTGGACATAGAGTGGTTGGCGGCGGTATGGGTCCCCGTCGGACGAGACGGAATCCACGTCCTCGAGGTCGAACAAGACAGAGCCCGCAACCTTGGGCGAGAAGAAAACCGCGTCCATGGGATCAGGCGAGACGGAGCCCGCACCCAAGGGGTCAGGCGAGACGGATCCCGCGACCTCAAGGTCGGGCGAGACGGAGCCCGCGGCCTTGGGTGAGACGGAACCCACGTCCTTGGGGTCGGGCAAGACGGATCCCGCACAAAAGGGGTTGGGCGAGACGGAGCCCATGGCCTTGGGGTCGGGCGAGACCTTTTAATACGTCTCGAGCCACTGGGAAAGTCAGCGTGGGCGCTAACTTCCTTGCTTTGGGTATCCCTAATATCGATATCTGACAGTAGCTCCCGAGCCTGCGGAGGAGTAGAATACTCCTTTATAGGCTTTTCCGGACGGGAGGACTCTGAGGGCTTTGGCCTTCTTTTTTAGCCTGTGGCGTGTCCTGGTAGGACGGCGATTCCCTTTTGTCGCGATTGGTCTTCTTGGGGGCATATAACCGTAGGATTCGGGATGTCGGAAAGATTTTTCTTGATTTCGGTCCCCTAGGATCCGATCGGTCCGCCATTGTACTACGACCGCGTGTTTGGTCTCCTTGCGAGTCCAACTTCCCTCAAACCCCCGCGCGTAGTAGAGGTCCGGTCAAGGGTAGCTCGTCTTTGTGATCGTCATCCCTCAAGCGTTTTTTTGATAAAACGAAGGCGCCGAGCCGTGCCACATTTTTCCTCGATTGACGAAATATGGTGCTCGGTTAGCTGTTAACGGGCTAGTCCGAGTGGGGCTCTGGCTTCCCATTCGCGGGGGTCCAACATGGGTCAGCTGGTGACCGACTCCAGATTCTCAGTGGTCAATCCATATAGTTCTCGGGTCCGTTCGACCGGTCCCAAGGACTCATTGCCTTTCTTCAAGGAAAAACCATGGACTAGGAACCGACCAAGACTCAAACGTGGGCCAGGATGCCCACGGTGCTCGTGCGCTTGGGTACTGGCCGCTAGTGGGCCCATCCCTTTCCACCCCTCACTCTAAGGGCGCCCCGAGCGGCTGTGAACCCGTCGGAGGGCCAGCCTTCATACTCATGGGCCTGAATGGGTCGTAGGAGCATTTTCAGCTCTGTATCCTTCCTTACCTGTGACGGTTCTCATGCATGTCTACACCGACACCAAGCTGGATGACATCGAGAAGGAGGTGACCCCTCTGGCATAGGACTTACCTATCGGGATAGAGGATGAGATCACCCCTAAGAAATTAGTTAGGTAGATAAGCCAGGCGGCGAACTTATAATAAGTGGACAAGCTCTTAAATTTCGTTATGGCCTTATAGATTTTTAGCTCTTCTCCCCTTTTTGTATTAAAAGGTTAATGTGTTCTGACCCTTTCCATCGTTAAGGCTGTAAAGCTCGGGGTGCGGGTGAAAAAACTCTGATCACGCTGGTGAGCAAAAATGCCGTAGTCGCTGGGGCGTTGGTTTCTTGTAGTCCGACTAGTTTTACTCAGCGTTTGTTTCCGCAACCTTTGCTTCTAGATCTTAACATGAGAAAGGGTTGGTCATAGAGAATGTCTACCGGATAGATATATTCTTTAATGTGTTCTGACTCTTTCCGTAGTTAAGGCTAAAAAGCTCGGGGTGCGGGCAAAAAACCCTAA